TCTCTTATAGAAAGTATAAGTAAGTTTTAAAGGAGGAGAGCAGTGATCTTCTTGACCTGGATAAATTATATCAATAACACAAGCAAGCAAGTTCACTCAGCGATGGTTAGAACATTAGGCTAAAAGATGTTAATATCATTACAAAAAAATGCAGTAAGGAGATTTTAAAAATCCTAAGCTGAAGAGCCTGCCATTTGAAAGAAAAAGTCTACATGAGGACTTGTGTACACCCGGAGTGATCACAAGGATCCAGCATCAGAGAATCATGGCACACTAACTCCTTCCCTTTGAAAGAACTACTAGACTTGGGAACACTGTTGACAGGATGTATCTGGAATGCTACGTGAAATCTGAAAGGGCCTTTCAAGATAGTCCTGTGAAAAGCCAGCTTGAGTACAATGACAATTACATAGAGTACAGTGAGTCAAAGGTGGTGCTGAGCCCAATGCCACCAAATGGACACCTGCTTGTATTCCCATCCCCCTCCCTCCTGCTACAACTAAGGAAGTGTCTCTCCACGGTGTGAGGCCAACCCCCCCCCAAGTTTTCCCCATTCTGTTTGCTTCCTCACACTCTCTCTTTTAAACTTATTTCTTTCACAAGAGACAAGGAAAGCACCCTTAACAGGGTCCACCCACCAGCCTGCCAAGTTCAAGGGCAGCCTGGGTTGTACAGATACAGCAGAGAAACGAACCCTGGTCTTCCACATGGCCTCCAGCACGGCAGAGCAATGCATACTGCAGCACCACAGTGGCTGGGCCAAAGCCCCAGCTCCTCTTCTCTACCCTGGGTCTCTAACAGACCACTCCCCTCCAATTTCAAATACACCTTATCATCTCTCACCTAACCCTCCCACCTCTGCCCTGTACAGTTTCTGCCCACTTCTCTGCATGTCCTCAATCTGCAGTTAACCTTCTTATTTATTTATTTATTTTGGGGGGAGGTTTTCGCTATAGGGCACGTGTGCTCACCAGACAGACAGAGCCATAGAGAAAGCAAGAAATCACCCCCTATGGGGGATGGTCACACTGCAATCCCTTCTCCTCCATTCTCCTCTCGGGATCTTGGCACGCACGCACATGCGCCCAGCGTGAGTTTTAAGCCACCGGGTCCAGGACGCAAACCACGATCGACTACGTGGGAGTACAGCGACATAGCCATTACTCTAACTGCTGGTTCCCTGCAGTTAACCTTCTTGAAAGACCTAGCCTAACAGCCCCACTTTCTGACCTCTCCACTGCTACTATCCCGATAGGCCACAATGCATGCCTACTCCAGTATCACTTTTCTAGATTTTGAACTTGCATTGAAGAAGTCAAAACAGAACAAAGAACAGAGTACAAGAAAAAGGATGCCTGACTTAGTAACAGCAGAAACTTAAAAAAAAAAAAAATTCATGACAGTAAGTTGAGAATGACTCAGCTGTGATGCATGTAGCCAACGTGATCCTCAAAGGCATCACAGAGGTAAGCCCTCCACTGTGAACTGGTGGAACTCTCCCAAAACAACTCCAAGGAGGATATTTTTGCAAAGTAAGACTTTTCAACTATCATTACTGCCTGAAGGCACAACCTGCTGCCCTGGGGAAGAGTGTGCAGGGAGGGCTGGCAAATAGCAAGGTCTTCCCTTGAAGGAACACAGTAACTTCTCAATTTCATCTCAACTCGCACTCAAGAATCCAGCGGCAGAGCCAGAGTTATAACCCTACATTTAGCAAGTAAGAAAGCATATCGAACTTGGGTCCAGTGTTTGACTCAAAGTTTAGACTATTCCACGCTTCGTGAAAGTGAGGAAGGCAGAGTGCCACTAAGTGTCACCTTGCACTGGTGAAGGGACAACCCGACCCTGAGTGCGCTCGGGAGGACGTTCCCTGCTTATCCACCCCCACAACTTCAGGAACGGCGACAGGAAAGGACTCATGATTAGGAGTTATGAGACTTCCACCTGTGAGAACCACCACCTCCTGAGGATTTAATTAGTACTCCCCACTACCTTCCTCCAGGAGGCACCTCCCTTCACCGCAACCCCTAAAGGCGAAGTTCTCTCCTGTAGACTCGGTCCCTCCCAACAGCGCCGCGGAACCAGGTCGAGCAAATCGAGCGTCTCCCGGTTCCGACAGCCACAATGACGGTATCGCTGTCCGCCGACCAGGCCAGAGCCTGGGACCACCAGGCCACCCCCCCCCCCACCAGGCCCCGCTCACCCCCGTGGGACAAGGGCGTGGTGATGTTCCCGTATTGCTCCTCGTTGTAGACCACCACCGCCGAGGCGTTTCTCCGCGCCGCCACCAACACCTTGTCCTTGAAGGTGCAGCCCCCGCGTGCCACCAGGGCGATCCAGGGCGCGCCCCCACGGCTGCCGGGCACGAGGAAGCGCGTGTCCGGGGCGCAGCCCTCGGGGTTGCTGCCCGGCGCGCGCGGGACGCCCACCAGGCCCTCCGCGCTGCGCTTGGGCGAGCTGTCGCTGAAGCGGCCGCTCTCCGCGACACTCCACACGGTCAGGTTCGTCTGCGGGTCCCCGTACCGGGTGAAAAAAAAGAGCGCCCGGACCCGGGCCGCGGGCACGTACAGAGCTAGGGCCAGGAGCGCCAGCACGCCGCGGGCCCCGACGCCGGCCTCAGGCCGCCGTAGCCACGCCATGGCAGTAGCGCGGGGTTGACAAGGAAGGGTCGGGGCGTGAGCCGGGAGCCGAGGAGCGAAGCGCGCGCGTTTGAGGCCGGCAGCCGCGGAGCTAAAAGAAGACGCCCTCCGCGGCTCGCGGGAGGACTGAGGCTGATGGGGGCGGAGCTGCGGCGCACGCGCACCTGGAGAGCCGGCAGGGGCGGGGCGACGTGAGGGGCGGGGCCTTACCTGGCACCGCCCCTGTCCAGCTCTTGTTGCGGCGTGCGCAGGCGCGAAGCCACTGAGTGACGCAAAGTCTCGAACGCAATGTCCCAGACTCCTGGAGCTCGCGGACCGAGGTGGGGGCGCAGCCGTTCTCGCCACGGGTTGTACCATGCCTGACCCGCTTGGGCCTGGCTCGAGCTTGTGCAACTGGACGTCACCAATGTGGGGAACTAACCTCCAGAGAAACAGGAAGCTCCTTCGTGGGCGAGCGTGGGACCGCGGTTTTGAAAATTATTCAGCAGACGTATGTGAAGAGCTTACTGTGCAACCACGTGGTAAAGGCCTAAACCATTTAAAATACATTTAAAAATAAATACAGCTAGGCTCATATTATCCAAGAACCTTTAGTTGTCAATTCCACAATGCTAATTGATTCTTAACTGAGTCTCTCCCGTGTTTTAGTCACAGCAGCTCTTTTGTTACTGTATTTTATGTATAACTTGTAATTTTGAAGTAAATGCAGCAAACTATTTAGATGAGCACTTAAGTTGCGAATCAATCGATACAAAGGGAAAAGGGAACAGATACAAGGTAATACATAGCCTATAAAACTGGAGGGTACAAAGCCCACTGGAGGAAGACGTTTAGAACATTTATTTCTGACTCATCCTGTTTTGTACAAGGGTCTGTTTGCTGCTCATACCACTTGTTTCTGTTGGACTTTAAATTCTACTCATAGTTTTCCCTTTTTTTTTAAAAAAAAACTACTCTTTAATGAGTGAGAAAGACAAGCACTGTAAAAAGGTCTCACCCACTATTGTAACCTCCAGTCTTTCCCAGACTGCCAGCGTCACTGTGTGCCCCAGTGGCATTTCCACCCACCTGAATCCTAACTTCATATGGCTTCCAGCACTGCAGCACACTGAGCTACTTCTTGGCCATGGTTTCCATTCTTATCAGTCTTTCCTGGACTGCATCTGTGTGCTAAATGCAGGCAGGCCTTCCACACATGTTTTCTATGGAGTTGGATCTCCTCTCCCTTCCCCATCAAGAAACTACTTTTTTTTTTGGTAGAGTTTTTTGCCTTAGGACAGTGGGTTTCGGGGTGTGCTGGGAGGTGGGGAACAGAAACAGTGAGAGGGAAAGTGAGATATCACCCCCCAGGGAGCGTGGCCGTAATGCAGTCTCCTCCTGGGATCTTTGGCACACATACCTGGTGTGAGTTTCAAGCCACTGGGTCTGGGACTCAAACCATGGCCATGTGGGAGTCCAGAGACATAACCATCACACCATCTGCTGGGCCCACTAATTTTTTTTTTTTTAAGATTTTGACCATAGGGTGCGTTTGCTTACCAGAAAGATTCAGAGAGAGAGAGTGAGAAATCACCCCTGGAAAGGATGGCCATGCTGCCGTCCCTCCTCTGTTTTTCTTCCGGGGTTTTGGACAGACACACACATGAGCCTGGTGTGATTTTCAAGTGACTGGGTCCAGGCTCAAACCCCATCAGCCGTGTGGGAATCCAGTGCCTTTGCCACAGCATGTTGTGGCCCCATGAAACTTAAAGTCCAGAAGTGGGCCAGAGGTGGTGTGGAGGTTACGCCGACAGGACCCCACATGGCCAGCTATCAGTTCCACTCCCGCTGGCTTGGTAATCATGGCTGGTCCGTGTGCGTGCAGTGTCCAAAATCCCAAGAGGAAGGTGGAGGAAAGGGGATTGCACGTGGCCATCCCCTCGGCAGGTGATTTTTCAAGTCCCCTTTCTTAGTCTTTCTCTCGCTTTTTCTGGTGAGTGCATGCTCCCCGTAGCAAGTGTTAAAAAAAAAAAAAAAAAAAGGGACCAGCAGTTGGCATAATGGCTATGTGGCTGGACTCCCGTATAGCCAACCACGGTTTGAGTCCCAGACCTGGTGGCTTAAACTCACGCCGGGCATGTGTGTGTGTGTGTGCGCGCCCAAGATCCCAAGAGGAGAATGAAGGAGAAGGGATTTGTGGCATGGCCATCCCCCCGGGGGGGTGATTTCTCACTCTCTGTCTCTGTCTCTCTCTGTCTTTCTGGTGAGGGCATGTGCCCTATAGCAAAAACCTCTCCAAAATAACAGGTCCCAGACCAAAGCCCTTCATCTTGTCCCAGGTCTAGAATAAGGGAGGTGGAGTATGGTGTCTATAAAGTCTGGGAACAGGTCCTAAGGCCCTGAGCCCCAGCACGTACTACGTGCTCCAGGAAGATATTGATAACTGCTTGTAGTTCCTGAACATTTCTTTGTGGTTTCATGCTGTGTCTTCCAAATTCATTTCCTTCTTTTTGAAATGACCTCCTGCTCCTGGCCGATGTCCTGGCAAACACCAATGTAGTCTTCGAATCGTACCTCGAGGCTACTTCTCTGAATCTGGCCTTATTTACAGGGCAGACTTAGGTGTGCCTCTGGTTTTCTGTGTTGCTTGTGTGTATTTTGCTCCCATAGTAATGCTATAGCAGCAATAACTTCCTCACACATAGATTTTCTTTTCTTATTTTTTTGGGAGAGAAATTTTTGCTATAGGGTGGGTGTGCTCACCAGAGAGACAAAGACAGAGAGACAGGAAGCTAGAAATCACCCCTCTCCCCAGGGGGGTATGGCCACGCCGCACTCTCTTCACCTCCATTCTCCACTCCAGACTTTGGGTACACACACGTATGCACCCGGCATGAATTTTAAGCCACTGAGTCTGGGACTTGAACTGCAGTCGACTATGTGGGAATCCAGCAACGTAGCCATTATGCCACCTGCTGGTCCCCAGATAGAAATTTTAGACTTCTTATAATCCTACGTGAAGGCTAGGACTCACCAGAGTATCATTGAATATTCACTACGATGTTTAATATCGTTGACTATTTCTCTGGATACTCTCCTGAAGTTACTTTATGTTTAGTTTCTTTGAATTAAGTTTCACACATTACATTTGGTTTTCTTTATTCTTTATTGTCTTTTCCTTTTCTATTTCTTTTGGGTGAAGTTGGGTGATGCGTCCGTATAATTCCCCACATCTGCGTTTGGCTGACCGTGTCCTTCCCGTGCCATTTAACCTGCTTCTCCTCTGCATTTCCTGCGGATGGCTAGGCAGGTACCAGGCCTGCCCTGCTCTAGGTCCCGTTTGGGGACAACGTATTGCGTGGTTGATGCTGCGTCCTCAGTCTGGGGCTCACTATGTCAGGGGCCTTTCCTTTCTGAAATGTTCGTGGCCGTGGAGGAGCGCTATCTAAATCTGTCGTTTCATTAAGGGTTTCAAAATGATGTTATTCTCATCCTGCCATTCTTTCTTTATTAACTGGAATACTTCTGTAAGGAGAAGCTATCCCTCACCAAATAGAGCTTACCATGAGGTATGGTTTGCACAAAAATGTAGGTTAAATGACTGAGGCTTGATCCATTTTCAGAATAACGCGTCTCTAACTCTCCCTAAAGAGAATGGCTTAAAAGTCTACCAAATGCCTTAGAGATTGGTAAGGGTTCACTCAGTGTCTCGGTGTCTCCCTGGCATCGGGATTGATTCAGTCTCTTACTGAAGCTTTAGTTTGTTTGTTTCTGTTTTTGTTTTTAAAGAGAGATTTTTGCTATAGTGCACGTATGCTCACCAGAGACAGAGACAGAGAGACAGAAAGCGAAAAATTACCCCCCAGGGGAGATGGCTATGCCGCAGTCCCTTTTCTTCTATTCTTGGGATTTTCCACTCTCCTCTCAGTATTTTGAGCGTGCACGCACACATGCCGGGTCTAGGACTTGAACCACAGTAGACTATGTGGGAGTCCAGCAACATAACCATTGTACCATCTTCTGGTCCCCGAAGATTTAGATATTTTAGTTGGGGGATCATCTACCCCCCCACCCCCACCCGTGGTTCCAACATCTTTTTTCCTGTTTACTTCCTGGGTTGGCTGGGCTAGGCTGCCCTCCTTGGCCTCACTGCAGATGGCGGATTTTTGTTTTTCTAAGTTTCTTCCTTCAGATACAGAGATTGGGACCTGTCTCTTGCTGACACTGAAACATCTACAAACCTCCAAATATATGGTGGATCAAAGTGGTCACCAATGTCAACCAGAGATACCTATGAGCTGGTTCAGAGATTGTTAAGATCCACAGGCATCCTGCCTAAGGGTCACCCTACTTAGCCAATCACAGCCCACCTTTCCTTAAGTCCAATCAAAGCTCCTGGCCCCCACCCTTGGGCAGTTGCATCCCCCCCCCACGCCCTTTTCTCCCTTGGAAAGTGAAAAACTTCTGTCCTTTTCTGTCTGAATTCTTTCACAGCCCGTGACCAAGGCCACCCTGATGAATGGCAGAGATGGCCCTGACAGGAATGTCTCCCCAGCGTGTAGTCGGTTCTGTAGCACAGGTCAGCTGGACGCTCAGTGCCCGTGCTAGCTCCCTGGAGATGATGCTGAGCCCCCAGGTGAGGGCCCTGGCTCACAGGACTGCCTCCTCTTCTGCTGAGTCACAAAGGGGGTGGGGGGCTGTGGGACTTCTGACCTTCCAGCTACAAACTGGGTTTCCAATATCCTCATTTTAGGCTTCGATTAATTAGCTAGAGCCAGAATTCAGAGAAACATGTTTGTTTATTTAGTACAAAGGCTCTTTTAAAGAACACAAGTAGGGACCATCGATTCATATTTTATTTTCAGAGATTTTTTTTTTCTCTATGAGGCATGTGTGATTACCAGAGAGACAGAGACCAAAAGTAAGAAGTTACACCCTCTCCCCGGAGGATGGCCACACCACAATCTGTTCTCCTTCATTGTCCTCATGGGATTTTGGGGCATGTGTTGCACATGCACCTCGTGTGAATTTTAAACCACTGGGTCTGGGACTTGAACCGTGGTCAGCCACATGGGAGTCCAGCACCTTAACCACTACACCACCGACTGGCCCATCAATTCACATTTCTAACAAGCACACAGGCTTCTCTGAGGTTTCCTC